AGTATTTCTATCCGCTATTACAAGATCGACATCTTAATCAGCGTCGGTAGACGATATAACACGAGCATGTTGGCAAAGAGGAGGAGGCGAAAACGGCGCGACGCGAGTGGAGATGACGGAAGACGGAGAGATGATACATGCTAGATGGATGCAATTTATTATGTCCTTGAACGAGCAGCGAACGCCTGCTCGAACGTGGTAGAAACGAGTCGCAAACTTTGCGCGCTTTAGACAGTACGAAATACAAGGGACAAACTACGGGGAGTAATAAAGTTGCTGCAACGTGGCGGCTGATTTAATAGAAAATATGCAGATTATGGCGGCGCGAGCGACGCAAAGACCAAGTTAAATAAGGAAGAGGCGGGCGCAATGATGCGCATCCTGCAATGATGCGTCTTTACCGAAGCCGCCCTAAGCACCGTCATTAAAATAAATGCGCGAGCGACGTTTCGCACGTGTTAACTCTCTTCGGTTCTATGAGATTCAGACAGAATTATAGCCATATAGTCTGTTTTCCGTGTGTTCTTTAGCTTCTAAGATAATAAAAATGATATCTAAAAATGCTTTGTGACTGCGAGGCGCAAGAATTGTTACTGATGGCGTTCACCCCGAGTCGCTAACACACCTTTATTCGATTGGCGAGAAAATGCGGTGCAAGTGTTCTGTATCAATTTTTGAAAGTACCCAAACACGTGGCAGAAATAAAATTCCTCTGAAAATATCTGAGAGGTAATATGAGAATATCTACTGTAGTAGCGACATGTGCGGAATGGAGAAACCTTCGATTGGAAAAGGGAGAACCCTTCATCTCTCGAAACAAGCAATACCCTCGAAACACTCAGCTGCGAAGTAGAGGGTTGCGCTCGACACGCGGTGAAATAGGCGAGGTATCCAATTATTTGGAACACAAATCCTACGTAAAATTAATAAAGTTTCAGTTGTCGCGTTGTATTTGTCTAAAGGCTACCCGTACGTAAACGATTTATCGTACCTTTCTGGACCACTATTTCGGCAAAGCGAGAAGCGACGGCCGCGGAGAACGCTCCGCTCTGTCTGGCAATCTTGCATAATTCACTCGAGAGTGTGCATGCACGCACGGTAGGCGAAACCAGAAGCTCAAGCAACTTGCGGGAAAAAGAACTGTTTACTCCCCTCCCGCCTCTCTGTTTCCCTTTTTTTCTTTTCCTCCTTTAATAAGGCGCCGTCTTTGATGTGCTTACGCTCGCTTACGCTCTTGACTTTGCTTACGCACCGGCTTCCGACCTCGGCCCCGATACGGGGAGAATTTTGCCAAGGCGGACGTGCCTCGGAGTCGTGCACGCAGATCTTGGCAGCGAAAGACCGGAATTTCACAAACGATAATAATCCTACATTTTCTTCTTAAGTGAATTAAAAGAAGTAAAAGAAATGTATATCCTGAAATACGCGATTGTAATGATGAAAAATGTAATAAAAATTGTAATAACAATGATAAAAGTGTAATAATGGGAAGAAAAGTGTATATTAATTCATGACTCCGACAGCTATTGTTATAACAAATTATTCTCGATTCAGATCTGAACTCGCTGCAGTTGCCCCTGATGGAGCGCCGCACGTGTGAGTGAGTTCAGCGAATACGAACGCGTGGGTGTATTGAGACGGTGGAGGAATTTCAACTCGTCTCCTCAAGGAAACGAGTAAGTGCTCTCGTTGTTGCGCGAGCTTTACTACGTGGCCGACCCACGAAGCTACGTAGCTGTGTGTCTAGCCTGCAATACAACGCCCACGGCAGTGTGCTCGCGCTTGCACTTACGCGAGAGCGACGCGCATCGATCGGGTTTAATCTCATTTTGACCTTCCGAGGCACATGGCATGCAACTTTTAAAACTGCCTCTAAGGCTCCGGGATCTACCGTCGAAATAAAAGCTGCAGGCGCGTAACCGTGCAAATTTTTATATCGCTGCTGCATTCGTTTAGTTATACTACTTGCCGTCTCGCCGCTACTCATCCGGAAAACGTTATTTCGGCGAGAGTAATGTAATATAAAAAAGATAAAGCGAAAAACAAAGAGAGAGAAAGCGCATATACTTTAGAAGAGCTCGTTTAATGTTACATGCTTGTTAAATATTTTAATGGGACATACATTATGAGAAAGCATGCATCACATTATTTTGTATCTCTATCATCCTCGCTACGTGATAATTCCAAAGTATAATCTAATAAAACGCAATGTTTAATAGCGTAGAAATAATTTTTCTATATTTCGGGAAATTAGCTAAATGAAAATGTCTTTAGTCGACTATATAGTTGAGTTAATCGACCGTATACTTGTTAAATTTCACATCTAAGTTCAAGCTCTTCCAATTTAATTAAGCTTCGATTAGCCTCTTAGGACTTTGTCACCTCGCACAGACTGATGTAAATTCCTTACGCTCTATATTGTCACATAGGCGCCACATTGAATTATCGCAACTCCTACAGCTGTTTGTACCGTCGCAAGCAGTTACAAATGTATCCTCGACTTCTCCGTCTTCACTCCGATCGCGATCCTTGGATGTTTCATTAGCGTTAACGATCCACGAGAGAACGGTTAACGTGGCAATACGTGAAGGTGACGTTTGTAGTGTCGCGAGGCCGTGAAGTGCCGAGGCAACTCGATAACACGTATTTCAAGGTTTACGAGCGTCGTTGGATTGCCGAACAAACGAACGGATGGCACTTTTCCGCACTCGAATACAATAAAATAATGCGTATACGCATAAAAATGCATACGAAGAATGACCCCAAGCGGATTTTTTTTTAATTAAAAGATTTAAGTAAGAAATGAGCTTTAACTTTCGTTATCTGCTCTTAATTCTTATGCTTATTTTTCCTATTATTCTTAAATTAGATTTCTTTTCCTCAGATGTTTGTCATCAAGAAAATATATGTATGTGAATGGTATATAATGTGTCAATGTATGTGTATGTGTCCATAGTATACTGATTGTGAGCTCGGGTTCGATAGGTTTGCTAGACCCAAATGACTGAGGACCATTCATCCTTGCGGGGACGAGCGGATATGTTTGACACGCTGCCTGCCGCGGCACCTAATAAAAAATGTTAATATGTATGCTTCCCTTGAGAAACCGGCGAGTGTCCCGCGACAGTCGGATAGAACGTCTACAACTCAAACGCAGAGAAACAGAAATCCGAGATGTTTGGAACACCCGGAAAGCCCAGGTAAGAGGGAGTGAGAGAGGAATTTGAGTGTTTAGGAAACGGCGCTATAACGCGCGTCTGTCGCCAGTCGACGAGAATAACGACGCGAGAAACCGGCGACGAATCGATTCAAGTTTGCGTTTCTCTCTAAAGTCATCGCGGTGCTAATTAATCCATACGATGAAGATTCTTGCGTTTGCAAATAAACGAGTAAGCGGTCGGTTTGCTTAGCGTGTTCGCTCTATCTTTGGTCCATCTAAGATGCTTCCACCTCCATTTGTCCACAATTTTTATTAAGTAATCGTTCTGTTCGTTTCACCAAACCAGATAAAATGGCTTTCGGTGGAAAAGAGACATTGCCAAGATAAGAGTAATTTCCCGGCAATCTTTCGTTCTATGTTAGCGGAGAAAACTAAGGAAAAGCGCCTGTGTAACATAATGATGATAAAGAGACTCGGTGTGTGTTTGTCACTACTTGTCACTATTATTTATACAGTAATTTTTCATTGTCTGTACAAGAAGTTGCACAATGAATAAATTTGAATAATAAATTCTTTGATCTTATTTCAGTATTAATTCTGTCTTAATAAGCATTTAATACGGATGACACCATCGTGCAACTTTAGATTAGATTATCTCTTCAAACTCTTAATAATAATAATCGACAAAATTTCTTACGTATATTAATAAGTAGTATTATAAAAATTATTGTGGTTCGCTCTAACTCGTTCATGCGAAATCAATGTTCTAAGCATTGCTTTGTAAAATAAATTTGATCGAAAAATCAGAGAGATTATGCAATACAAAAAGTGGAAGGATCAACCGAATGTTTTACAAAACGACACCTTCGTCAGAATCAGTGTGCAAGCAGGATCGGCATTACGGAATCGGCGATGGCGTTGGTCGCGCTCGTAACTCCGGCGCGGATTATCTCGATTCTGCGTTACGAGCACGCCCCATGTCGCGCCCTTTCAGAGTCATCGTAATATCTGCCTCCACACTACCCTTCGTGGGCCGTTCCTACACATGCAGGCGTTACATTGAAATCCCGCAAAAGTCACTTAACGTCGAACGCCGGCGGTTTAAGATCCTGTAACATCGCCGGAAACAGCGTAATAAATTCTGCAGATAAGCGCCACCGGCATTCTCTTTCTCCTCCGTGTATGCAAAGAAACCACACAGTCGCGCATTCTCCCCCGTCTACCGCGTAACTTGTCCTCTTTCGCAGGACGACGATTCTGTTCTTATAGACTTGGCTTTACCGTTGATAATGTGTGCTCGATCGCGACCATTGCTCGCACGAGTCTTTCAACATCTAGAGAATTTCGCACGACACGAATAAACCAGTTATTGCAAAACCATTAGTCAGGTTTGCAGCGAACAAATAAAACGAGAATTAATTATCGTTATTAATAACTTTTTCAGGATCCGTCCGTAAGAGGTATAAATTTTTACAGTTTTCAACAAATTAAAAAAAAAGAAAATAATATAATTATAAGTCTCACATAATGCATCGCAATCATTTTCATTTGCATATTATTGTAAGAAAAATAAAATTGCAAGAAAAATGAACTTTTATACTTGTGCTTAACAAGTATATATTTTTCTTATCTGGATAACAAGAAATGAAACTAAAAATATAAAATAGCGTATCAAGACGCATAGAGAAAATCAATATTAAATGATCGTTAGTTCAATTTTCATATACAACGTCTTTCGTAGTCTTTCTTTTACCTAACCCTTGCACAAATCGTACTCGATTTCGCATCGTCCCGTTTTTACGTGGCAATTTTCGGAAAGATAGCTCCAGTTCAATGTTACCTATCACCGCAATCATGTGCGCTCCGGTAACGATCGATTGGCTGCTCGCTCTACGAACCGAAGGAAGTCCTCGTCACGAACCAAACTGATTGTAACGCGAGTCGTAATACGCGTACGTGTACGACATCGCGAACGCGACCGAGCGCGACGAATTGAACGAGCGTCGCGGAAAATATCCGTACGTGAGCTCTCGGTTATGGTCGGTCGCGCAAACTGTTAAACCATACCGCATCGCGTACCGCACCGCATGTAGCCACGTGTGGCATGCTGTTCGCGAGTGCGAAAGTGCCGACGTGCGCCTCCGTTTTTTCCCCTTCCTTTTCCTAAATCGCTGACATCGCGCTCAGACACAGCTGCGGATGGCGAGCGGCGTCAGCCGGCGATATTTCCCCGCGCATCCGTTGGTTTCGGGAGGGAGATTCGCGTTTTCACAAGCTGTGTGTGATAACGCGGTACCCAATAATTGCATTAACTTCCACCGGTTTGACGGGGCGTGAGTGCGAACCCAGCCACATTAAAACCGAGGTAACGATATCGGTTTTCCTATTTAATTAACTTTTGTTTAAATTGAGTACCTACAATCAGCGGGCTTCTTTTCGACAATGATAAACTAGGCATTCAAATTAGCGCTGGAATACCCCATAATTCTGTTATCCAATTAATTTTCATTTACATCGTTTAGCGGGGCTTATTTTGTAAGAACCAAATAGAAATACAAGAACAGAACGTTGAATTACGCAGCCAAGACTATTGAATTGATATTACTTTTCCTAATTAATTCTCATTTTAATCACATATTTTTAACCACATTTTAATCATATATAACAATGAGAATTTACTGTAATAGTGCAAATTATAAATGACGTTGGAGAGCCAATTTTCGCGCATTATCATATTACGAGCATGAATTAATACGCTGTTATAATATAATAACGCTTGCAAAATTTGACTTCCGACATTTAGGAGAAGAATGGCTCATATGCTCACGCGGCGTTACATTATTCGCAAAGAAACAAATACGTAAACACGGGTGCATAATAAACGCATAAACAACGGAAATTATCTCGGGCCGCGTTTCCGCATAGCTCGCCGGCGCCCTTGATATTGCGTATTTCAAGCGAGTCTGCAGTGCGAGATGCATGCGTGGTGCCCAACGCAACCGAAAATTTCTCCCCGTATTTTTACACGTATGCAGAGACTTATCGCCGTGATGGCGGAAATTAACGAACGAAAAGAAAAAGAGAAAGAGAGAGAGAGAGAAATGGCGATGCGCTTATACGCAAATAATGAAGCAGCCGACACGTTTTCAGTATTTACCGTGCAGGGAACGGATGCTGGGTGAATCGCGATTGCGATAATATAAAGCCGTGTCGGTATATGTACCTATGCAAATGCCACCATGTCGGCCGGCATTTTTTCTTTCTGTCGTAATCGTTTTCCCGCGCGGAGTGCGCGAACACGGTTACGGCGGCGTATCCGATTTTTCTCCACGATCGTGCGCAAGATCGATCGTTATCGATCCATCACGGCGAAGCGCGCGCATTAGCGGCGTGAGGCCGGAGGACGAGGAAACGAGAACCGACCTGTCGAGTCGGTTTTATCTGTTCTCCGCCTTTCTTTTCCCTTTCCTCCTCCTTTACACCGTAATGCTTTTCGTTTAACGAAGTACGATCGCCTTCGGGTACGTCTCTTCCCTCAAATTAATCCACGAAAGCTGCACCCGACCGCCCGATATGCCCGACGGCGTTTCGTCGCAGCGCAAACGACTGGCTCCGCTTAATTAGGTAAATAAATTTTCGTCGCGTCTCGTCGCCATCGTCGAGCCGTCTCCGAGACGGTTTTCTCTTGTAACAAGCATGGGCCGCATCGCGCGCGTCGGTCGTCGATACAAGGCGGGCGCGTAATTAATTCACACGCCCGTTACTTATCCCTCCGGAGGGGACGAATTTGTTCCTCCGGCTACGGGGGCTTAATAGGTCGCGAAGAGACAGGTAACGACGGACCCGACGAGAAGGCAGTAATAATCCCGACGAGCGTGCGAAACGAGAAACGTTTATCGAGGGAAAAGCGTCGCCCGGAAGATCTGGCCGTCAATTACTTCTGAATGCACAAAATTATTACTGGCACCTCTAATAATTACTGTTTCACACATTTGTAGAATGCAACAGTCGACTTTGCAGAATTTAAAAAATGAATTTAAAGTTGTATGCGTATGTGATAAAGAGAGATGTAAATATAAGAAACATACAGCTTCTGCGTCACTAATCGTACACGAGCAGGAACGAGAAGAAGCAGAGGAAACTCAATCCGGAATCTCAAGTTCAGACGAAACGGCCGGCGGGGAATGGTATGCGGTTCTTTTACTATCGTCAGTACCATCGTGGAGAAGTGCCCGGGGGGAGAAGGGAGACTGTGTGAGATACAACAATCACAATTTCAGGTTTCGCTGCTAAATGGCCGGCCCGTGCGATAAGGAGGTTGCGGAACAACGGGTGCGCGTCGTTCGTGGAATTACACTCGCGCGGAAAGTTTTAATTATCCGGGAGACGAGCAGCGGGCGGTGTTCCGCGAGCGGTGGAGAGTTTCCGCACTCCCGCACTCCCGCGCTCGTCCGCCCGTCAGCCCGCGGTATCGCGACTTCGCGGCGACGGCAGCGGCAGCGGCAGCACGTGCTACCTCTAACGAAGTTTCGCGCGCGCTCGCTAGTTTGCAGTTAGTTTCGCGAGTAAATACAATATCGTCGTGTAAGCGGATGACTTTGCCGCGGCATCGACGACGCACAGCGGGCTCCGGAATAAAGCGTCGGAGCTTCCTGGGTCCTCCTGCCCACCGTCGCCCTCGCTACCGTCGTACATTTTCGTCTCGGGTCTCCCTTTCCTTCCTACGGATGCTCGCGAAAGAGGATGCGGCCGCATCGCGTGAGGCAGGAAGAAAGTTTACGCACGATTGAGCTCTCGAATACACGACTACACAGTCCTCCTATTACGCGATTCGCAATCCCTCATAGCGATAACTATCACTCGAAACTACTAGAAATTCTGAACTAAGAGGATTTTTATTGGGGAACATTATAGTGGTGGAAAACCGCTTGTTCACTTATTCAATGTTTACACAAATTATTTAAAATTAACTGAATTAAAGTTAATTAATCAAAATAACTAATCATAATGTCTCGAACATGGTTACAATTTAAAGAACAAATGTTACAATTATATCAACTGCGGCTTTAAAAATGGTCTTTCTTGTCAGTGAGAACAATAAGTTAGGATGACAGGTTCAAAACTGGTTTTGGAGCCACGGACACATGCTTTCGTGTTTACTGGTTACGGGTGGTCGTGAATAATAGCTGACGAGTAGTCGTCTTGATATACCGTCCGTCAACTCGACGTAGGAAGTCTCGTCGTCGACGGGATATTTTGGCGTATGTCCAGCTGTATTCCACGAAACTCGCAAACTTGTATGTACACCGTAAAGGGGAGGAAATACAGAGTTGCATTTGCAACACGCTTGATGTTTAACAACGAAGAATTATAGCAAACAAGTAAAATAATAAAACTAATTAGACGGTGAGAATGAAAGAAAAGTAATCATGAGAGTGAGAGAGAGTGAGAGAGAGAGAGAGAGAGAGAGAGAGAGAGAGAGAGAGTGAGAGAGAGAGTGAGAGAGAGAGTGAGAGAGAGAGAAAGAGAGAGAGAGACTAATAAAAAAACTGACTATAAGATTAAAGAATAAGAGAAAAATCACAAGAAAAATAATTACTATAAGATAACGAAGAAACCTTAGAATTTGATTGGCTCTTAATAAAAGATCTTAGCGATATGTGGCAGAGAAAGAGAATATTATGTTCACTATATTATTCAGGCACGTCACAGAATGAATAGATATATCTGTGAACAGATTTAACGAAGGAGAGACGTATCCGGCTGATTGAGTTACCTATCTCTATTCTTTGTCGAGTTTATCGTAATTGGTTTGCGGGCGCGTTCTAATATCTCTAGCGATTGAGCTAGGAAAGGTCGGTAGAAAGGGATTCCAGTGGGAGATAACTAACTTTCTATTCGATCACTTCGTCCGTTCCTCGCTACTCTCGCCGCTATTAGGACCTTTACTACCTATTTCCAACGGTTTGGCTTTTAATTTTAAGACTATATAGGCAAACAGCGCTTGTGTGTGTGTGTGTGTGTGTGTGTGTAACTTAAAAAAAAACTGTAGTAATTTTCGATGATCTTCGAATGTTTGAAAATTCTAAAATTTATCTTACATTTTTATTTAAAAAAATCTCTAAATACATATTCGTGCGTTTGATTAATTATTAAGTAAACCAAGGCCTACGTTACGATGCTGTAAATTACTCACGTGGCCTAGAATATCGTCCCATAATTTTTCTCGGAGAAAGCTTTAGGACGCTATACTTCAGTTTTGAGATACGGTCGCTTCGTTTCATAAAAAGGACATCCAGTTATTCTTGCTGATATCCGCTTGCACGAGTGTCCACGGTGAATTTCCGCGATCGTGGTAAATCCCCGGGGCGTATAAACGGGAAACCTCTCGACGTGTAACGCCTTACAACCGTCGCGTCGGTCGTCGCAACGCGCTTTCGCAGCAACGGCGCGGAACGAATTCGAACATTTGTATGTGCCCGGTTACAATCCGCGAGCGTAACATCCATCTCCGTGCACGGCGGACGACGGTTGTTTAACCCCCTTCCCTGAAAATGACGAGTCGTATGCTCGTGTCTGGCAACGACGGTGGTCTAAAAGCGGCCAGTGACACTTGTGATCCTTTGAAGTGATATATGCAGTTTGTTATACACGTCCACTTTATACGCAAGTTTAGAACTGTAAGCATTTCACAGTCGTCGTATGCTTTACGACGCTCGCGGCATGTAAAAATATTATTGTGTACAATAATTTAGAAAAATAATGATATTCATTTTTAATGTTTGCGCGTGAAAAAGTACTTTCAAGGATTTCCCATCTTTTGCGTCAGAAAAATAAATTACCTCTTCTCGATAAGTTATAATACGCTCTC